TCATCTCTTCAGTATGATATACTGCAATTGGCTGTGGCTTGGAAATTTTTGACATGATTGACTGAGAGTACTTGCTTGTAGAATCAAGATTTAAAATGTCACAAGATGTTGCTCCATTTCAATTTTTATAACATCACTATAAACAAACTATGTACACTTTTTAAATATAGACTATATTGTGGTTCTCGTGTGTCTGTCAATAAATTTTGAAATAACAAAAGTATTAGAAAAAGTCTCTTTAATTTCTGAATTTACCTTTAGCCAGGACTGTAAAATATTAATTATGAAGGGCACTGAACAGATTACCTATTAATCCAGCTTCCTTAGATCACAGATTCTGAAAAATATGGGTACTCCTGCAATACAGTACTTTTTGCAGGTTGGCACATATTTCTCTGTTCATCTCTCTCTCTCAAATAACAGTTACCACAGTATTGCTTTCAATGTCATTTCTAGAAGTACTGCCCACCAAAGCAATATTTGTTAGAGCAGCATTCCACTGGAGGAGACTCTAGTTGGATTTGTGACATCTTACTAGTATTCCGACCTTCTGGAATACTTTTCCAATGACATCACAAGGTGCTTCTACCAATGACATCACAAGGTGATAGTCTGAGATTCCTGCAGCTACTGTATTTCAATGCTTTCCCTATAATCTCTTACTGAGTGTTGTTTTATACGTTTTAGCCTGCTAAAGCGAGACAAGATTTTTAACATATTATGACTAACTTACATCCATTATAAGTTCACTGCGCTCTTTATCCATCATCCACAATCTATTCTCTTTTAAATGTCACCCTAGAACTTTCTTTTATCAATTCTGCTGAAGATTAATGGAAGCAATTTGGAGAGACCAACACCCTCTTTGAAAAGGCCACACCTCAACAGATATTCAATATGGAATTTATGGTGACTCAGACTGAAAACCATCAACTCCACATGCTGTAGTGATTTTTTGCTATCTGTATGATACCTCTTACATCCCCTAGGTATTAGTTGGGGGGGAAATCCAAAATAAAAAGGAAATCTGCTTTAAGCAGATAAAAAAATGATGAAAGCTTCTTAGTCATTCAATGAATGAAAAATTTACATTCCAAATAGCTAATAAGGTTGTAGTGTGATAGACCTCAAACAACAAAATGAATTTTATGCATATTATAAGGTCAGTATCGACATCTGGACTAAAACTGGACACAAATCAATTTCAATGAGGTTTTATCTGGGTATTACTAGTAATACATATCGTAAAAAGCGTACCTTTATGTATACAGTATGTATTTATATATTCATAGCAGCATGCTGACAAATTACACAAACTCAAACATCACAAAACTGCTGCTTATTTATTCTTTTTTTGTATTGTTTTGTTACATCTGTGAGACAGCACAACCGCATTTGTGTCTATTATGCAAAACTCAGTGGTGCACATTTACCATCTTTGGTACAGTAACCATAAGTATTTGCTTACAGCACTAAAACCTTGAACCTAGACCTCTGCCAAGGACATACAAATAATTAAATCACTTCATTCATAATTTTTGCACTTAAGGCAAATTCATTCCAGTGGTAATTTTTACGTTTTGCTAGAATTATCTTCGTTACCATTTTACTTTAGCTAACTGCAAAAAGGTATGAAAACCTGGAGATTATCCATAGCTCCTTTGAAAGCTACAGCTGTGGTAGTACAGAGAAATATCTCTCAATTGTTTCTGATGAAGTGGAATATTTCTCATTATAGTATCCTAACTTGCATCTCTTGCATATCAAAAGACAATATTCCATGCTGCATACTTGGATTGAGAAGCAGAAATTTCTGCTAAATAACAGCAGTTATTTAGTGCTGCAGTTAGAAAAGACCATATGCACAGCAGGTTTCTTATTTCCATAAGGTTTTTTGTTTGTTTTTTTAGTCTACATTGACAAAACACTGCCCATTTTGTTGCTGTTGCCTTTGTTACCTGCTTCTACTCTATCGCTGACAACTAAAACCTAAAAAGTGTTTTGTGGAATCACCAAGCCCTGACAAAACAAAACACATAACATACATGAATGTCTCTATCAGGTCATTTCTGTTCAATCTAATCTTTGTCACATATACCTACTGTACGGTGTCATAAAATGCTTTGGGAAAAATCAAATTATTCTTATCTCATTTACTACTAAGACCTGGAAGACATGCTGTTATTTCTTCTCTATGAAGATTTTTGTAATTTGCACTGTTAGAGTCATGACAATTGTGGGCAGGGGAAGGGAAATGGCGCTTGTAAACTAAAATGAGAAAAGAAATTCTAAATCTGAACAGGACACTTACAAAAATCAAATTATTTACCCAAAATGGTGTTTTATACACACACAGTATATCTGTGAGCAACAGTTACTGCACAGTCCAATATAGCTACATAGTGTGATTCATCTAAATTATTACAGCACAAAGAGTACTTGCCCTCCCTATCTCATTAAATTTCTCTCACTCATAGATTTTCTAAAAAGAAAAAATTAGAATCTGTACAAAAAAATCTCATAAACATAAGCCCTGATAACAGCATAATAATAATTGGCAGAAATATTATTACTGTCTAGTCATCTTGATTATTTTGGTAAAGCCATTATTTTTACCTGTAAAATGTGACTTCCCAAATGTGATTCAAATACTTCAATGGCAAGGGCACTGGGGCTTCTCCTGCGCTGGGCACCTATAACTGAATAAAAAACAATTATGTTCCAATGTCTGCACATTCAGTCATGCTGTATCCCTGATTACACCACTGGAAAGATACTATAGACATGGACTCTTGCATTTTTAAACACCATTACTGTTAATTACAACTTTGCCTTGCACTATAGTAAGTAAAATCACTATAGAACTTTCAGTGACTTGAATTTTGTGGCACAATATTATTCTTTTCAAAGCTGTTAAAGTGCCCGGGAACTATGAAAATGAACATGCAATACTAATGGTTCTCAACCTGTGGCCCAATCAGCACACAGCTGCAGCCCATGTGACATCCTCAGGGCCATGCAGGTAGTATATATATTGTGTGGATGCGGCCCACATAACACATAGAGAGCTGGTAAATAGATTGAGAGCCACCCGGCTAGACAAATATGGCCCAAGTCCCGATAGAAGTTTCTTTGTTCATATTGCTAAGACTATGGACCGGGTTTGGTAAATAAAATAAGAAATATTAAAGTAGAAGATGCTAAATATAATGCGTGTGCACCCAAATGTGCAGACAAAACCCCCAAAATTACTCCATAATTGTAAAGATAAGAAATATATCTTTCTGAACATGCTACCTTCTTCATTTGAAAGTGGACTGAAGTGCCTGAAGAAGTCACCGTTTGCAAACAATTTCCTCTCCATGATATCTGAGGTATCAAAACTATTTCCTACTGTAAGTATAAGGAAATATTGCAATATCCCAGATACCAAGGTAACTGCTGTGTCTTCAAACAGCAATCTCCATACTATTTGTTAAAATAAATAGTTTTAAAAATAGAAAGGGAGTAACTTGCAGTTATGTTTTCAAAGGCAATGATGACTAAAATAAGAGAAAAAAATCAAGAAATCACACAGTAGAACTTTCATTAATCTCTACTTCATATGGGGTGCCAGGAACAACAAGACAGTCATAGATGGCTAAACACAGCCAAGCAGGGGAGAAAGTAACCTTCTGTAGATATAGCGTTTTTTGTTTTAGGTCTAGATTGTGTCTAGCTCTGCTTGGAGGGAATGGGGGACAAGGGAGGTGGTAAGAGAGGAGATGGTTTAAGGAGACTCCCCTCCCCCTTGCAGAGGGCAGACATATTCACATCTAAGACCCTGGTGGAACAGTGCCCCTGGAGCGCAAGAAGCAGTGTTGCATCTCTACACACCACAGTGCCTTGAAGACATAATCTAACTCAATGTATTTAGCCAAGGACGCTGAGTCATAAAGTTTGTAATAGGTAACAACAAATATAGCGTACTAGACCAACAGAGTAGTCCAAAGCTGTTACTGAACAGACTAACTTGTTAGCAGGCTGATTATCAATTGTCCAATAAAAACTAATTTTAGAGCAACAATTTGTAGGAGTCTTCTGTGACATCAGCTGCCAAGTCTGATATCTGCACACAAAGGTATAGGTCAAGTAATGACAGGGATGTTGACTTATAAGTGTAATGTCACTCCTTACTGATGCTTCATGTAATTTCCTTGCAGGAAATTCTAAACTATTTATACTGGACACACAAGTGACTTCATTGTTAATAGATTCAGGCAACAGCCTATAACAGTTACAAATGGTGACTGCTCCAGACCTAATATTTCCATGTCATCTTCATCTACTCTCTGAAAGGAAACCAAGAACATACATAAAAACAGCTACAACAAATGCAGAGTTTTCCCAGATTCTTTCATTACATACTGAATTGAGACAATAGATTTTATGTCACAATCAGTTATGCACTTTTACTCCATACAATAGCTGAAGAGATATGTCACATCAATATTATACTTGTACTTGACTTAGTTTCTTACTAATCAATTTTACTTTTGGTTTTCACTCCACAAACTGACCCCCACTTCTCTGACCCTGAATAGTTTTGCTCATCAGTGCTTTTGTCTCTCCTTTTCCCATAGCTACATGAATGCCTGTAATTTGCAGGATTTTGATCAAGTATAAGATTTAGGGACAAAATTCAAAGCATTGTAAATTCTTTAGGATTACTGCAGTCTGCAAATGAAGTGGTCTTCTTTCCCTACTCTAGGCTCTTATTCTTTAACTCCTCCCCCAGTCCTCCACATACAGGCTCATATTTAGAGATGATCCACTCCATCTAGCTTGCCCCACGCCCTGAAATGCCCTGAGCAGTTAGCGTGAATAGGACGTGCAGCCATATTTATTAGGGAAACTTTAGCTTTAATTATAGCTAGAGTAAGATATACAGCATTGTAAAGGTTATCAGTGTTCTCATTATGATTATTATCGGTAAGTACTGCACACAATACAGCCATTTCATGTATGGTTTACCAGAAACCAAGTGGGAAAAATCTACAGGTGTTCCTTAAGCATTGTTTCTTCTTTTTATATAATCATTGTTTAAAACAAACAAACAAAACTTAACTGGTTCTCTTTCTTTCAACTAGACTGTGATTTATTTTTCACACCAAGCCTAAAGACATCACCACTCAGATATTTTTTCTGATTAATATTCTATTTCTATACACCACTCCCTAAAATTCACTGGCATATTTTTAAATGTAGCTGATTTACTGATTATTGCTTCCAGTTCTACAGTGTTAATTGCACATGATGGTTGTTCAGTGTGCGAATGACATAACTTGAATAAGGTCTATGGATATGATCAAACAGAAATCAGTAAATGATCTGCATGTGGATTTTTAAAGCAATAGCTGTGATGTAGAAGCCTTTTTACTAATAGCTCATCTGTCCTTTTTCACTTTAGACCCTTTCAGTTTCAAAGTGTGTCTGGTGGGGGGGGGTGGGGGGGAAGGGAGTTCAAATTACAATACTCCAACATAAGTGAGCTGATGTTAGAAAATGCAAACTGGACTGGATAATCACACCTTTAATATTTGTCAATCAAATCCACTAAAAACCTACACGTGTGTCTTGGTACATGGTATCCATGTGCATAAATATCTTGTGAGAGTTTCATGCCATTCAGTTCTATGTCATTTTTATGGCGCTGGAACGCCTCTTGATTTATGTGTTTTGCCCTTATGCAGGTGATGTGGGGCGCTAATGACAGTTCCTAATTTTACAACCAACATAAATATGTTAAACAGGATACCATTATGGCCTCTGGTAGCCAAGCTCCAACACTAGCATTATTGGTAACTGAATAGATCTTAAATATGTACTTCTTAACTTGCACTTTATTTTTTCTTTGTACCCTCACTATCATATTTGGCATTTTGAGGAACGAGACAATAATGTTTTGATAATTCCAGAACATAGAATACAATGCTATTTTCCTCACTGTTCTGCTTTCACTGCCTCAATATTTTACTTTTTCCAGCCTCAAGCAGTTGATTTCATGCTGTTCATCTGCATCACAAAAATAATATTTTAGTATACCAGGGTATATCAGATTGGAACATTTCAGAAACATGATGAGTTTCTTATGCAATTTGGCAGTCCCGTAACAGAGTAGACTCACATGTGCTGAATGGATCATTTATTAAATCCAATATACAGCCTTCATTCCCTTTATCTGATTGCCCAATTTAAAGATACTACTTTTAAAAATCTACATTAGATATAGGCTGCTTAAAGAGCAGAGCAAAATAAAATAATGTATTATGGCTTAGATTATAACCTACAACCATGCAGTCATGCAGGTGACTAAGCCATCCTCCACCCACCATGCACAATCATATAGGGCTTGCTGGGATAGGGAGTCTGCATGCAACCGGGTGAAGCAGACTCTGTGACACCACTATTTCCTATCACAACAAAGCAGACAAGGAAGGACTGGGGTACAAGCAGAGAGAAGCAAGAGATTAGATGAAGTTATATTTCCACTCTTCCATCCTTCCAATGTTTCAATTGGCAGTGGCAATTAGGTGCCAGGCAGGGAGTATGCTCTGTCTGGCATCGCAACTGATGTGGGATACTTCAGTTGCCTGTCATGGAACACAAGGTCAGGGAGAAATGTGACTCAGAGATGTGCCTCTCTGAGTCACAATTCATTTTTGGAGATCTGCTTGTGCCAGTGCAGTTATATGACACCCCGTGTTCTGCACTAGAAACAAAGTATTAATCTGGCCCATTATGAATAACATAACAGACAATTGCTTCAGTGAGGTGCAAATCTTACAATAAATAATCTATTTCCATAAACTGGCTACTTACCTATTTTGTGAATGAAATCTAACTGCATTTCCCCTCCCCCCCCACCAAGGTTCCCAATGGAAACACCACCATAGAAAGTGTAATTGTTTACACACATAATCTCATAGAATTTCCAAGAAACCTAGAGTCCAAAGGATCTAGGATTTCTAAATCAGAGAAACTCAACTGATCATTGAGCTGAGGATCTGGCCCTATATTTTTGAACACTCATAACAGTACCTTATTTTTAATATTTCAAAAACTAACTTGAGCTACAGAATCACAGTTTTTCGATTATTCAAAAGATTTCCAAATTTCATTGTGAAGATACAAAATGTAAAGTGCTTTAGTGCATTAAGGAAATAGAAGCATTTTAACTTGGTTTAGTAAAGCTATTGAAATAATTAATGCTGTACCAACTAACTAGCACAGCAATAAAATACCTGAACAAAATACCTGGCAGAAAGGACTATATATAAAATGTATAATGCAATAAATCAGAGGGGGGGGGGAAGGAACTTCACAGCCATCATACACAGTGCACACACAGTGGGGCGGAGTGTCAGTCCACTGCCTTTTTCCTTAGCTGAGCCATCCAGGGTGCACTAAAAATAGGGTGACCATATTTCCCGATGCTGAATACGGGACACCCAGTAAAATTACTCATATTCAAGCAAGTTCAATGGCAATCAATCAGAACTATGCAGTACAAACGTTCAAATTAACAATAAGTTGACTGAGCCCCTGTTAAAAGAAATATTGAATAGCTGGATTCTTTTTATTTACCTTCTTATCTGTAAGGCTTTAGGGTTCACACAGGAAGAGGTGACACACACATTCTCATAAATCGTGTGTGTGT